TGAGATAGTGCTTGTGTGTTCGAAAGAGACTATTTTCAAAAGATTTTCATTCAAGTGTAATAAATCTTAAATATAAAGAATAAATATAAAATTATTTATTTATTTCCGTTAAATAAAAAAGTATAATTAAACTATTTCTATAACAATAATTGTATATGTAAGCAATTTTTATGCAAACAAATATATTTACTCTAAATCGGAAAGTAAGATACTATATTATAGAGTATCCTTTTGACCGAAGCAGCCGACAATTTTAAGTGAAGTGATGATAGGAATATTTTTTTTCTTGTCTTGTCTTTTCCAATAGCTAACAATTTTAAATTAATACAATAACATAATAAATTCAATGAATTTTTATAAGTGGATTTTGAAAATAATAAAGGGTGTGCAGACTTTAAAGGTATTTTTATGGGTGGTTTGATGTGAAGGATAATATAAAATATTCTTAAGATTAAATTATAGTATTATTTAATTTATTATTTTATGAATAATTTTGGGATAATTTACAAAAACTAAATAGGTAAAATGATAATGATATCTCTTTAAATTCTTTTTAGACATCACTTTTCATATTCATATATATTTATGTTATTTTTAATATCATGTATAATAATATTTACAACCTTCACTATTCTTTATTTTTATGACAATTCTTCATATTTTTTTTATTAAAAAATTATAATATATAAATATAATTTTATTTATGAATTTATTTGACTAACTCTTATGTTTATTTATATTTTGATTTCTCATAAATATTTTTTTACTTTAACAAACTTAAGATGAAATTTTTATTTTTAAGCTAAATAAGAAAAAAATAATTAAATACATATGGTGGGAATGCACACACAAAAGTATTTAAGCTAAAATAAGATGAAAGCTTTATTTTTAAGAATGAATAACTAAAGCTTGCAAAAAAATAAAAAAGTTAAATAAAGTAAAGGGTATTTTTGCAAGGAAACAATTTGTTCTTAAAATTTATGCAATGCATATTATTTTGAATATAACAAACTAAACCCTCAATAAAAAATAATCTCAATATAATTAATCCAACATAATTTATTTTATTATAACTAATATTATCATAACTTGTATTCAAACCAAACGATCCTAAAAATTAAAATGATTATTTCTGACATCACCGCAACAAGTAATGTTCTCAAATAAATATTTGGTGACATTTGATAAGATGTGTACACCAAACATTTGGAAATGCACACCATCACTAGATAACACAATAGTACCTATGAAAAAATTAAATAATTAGACCATAGTACTAAGTAATGAAGAAAAATATTGAAATTATTAATTGATATAAAAAATAAAAAGGTATAAATGTGTGTAGAATTAAACATGAAAAAACAAAAAACAAAAAACAAATGATTTGAAAACAATTAAGGGTAATTTGTGGCAAAGAATAATGAGAGATGTATATTTTTTTTATATCTCACCTAAAAGAAGATACTTTAACCATATAAGTTATTGTATTTGCGTAGTTTAGTTAGAGGTCTTTGGGATGAAAAAACAAAAAAAATCTTGGAAATAAAGAGGGGAAATAGGAATTTTAGATAAAGACTAATTTTGATTTGTAGGTGGGTGGATTGAGTCTAAGATATAAATATTTTAAAATTTTAGTTTATTTGTGAGTTTATGTCTATGTGACACAAAATAAAAATAATTTATTTTGTCATGTCAACTATTCTTTTTCAAATTTTTTTTTACAAGAAAATAGAAAATTAGCTAAGAAATTTATCGGTAATCCCACCTGATATATTGCTAAACATTCTAGCTGATTAATTTTTTTTTAATAACATCGCTAATTTATAACTGAATAGAATTAACTTGAAAATTCTGTTGTTCAACTCCGAAATTATGTCTATTGTTAATCCCTTATTTACAATTAATTAAATGGCTCAACTTGGTACTATATGACCAAAATACACTTTATACTCAAAATAAAGACAAGTAATTAGAAGCAGAGGGAGTACATTATTAATTAATTGCTTAAACTTGATCTAACCAATATATATTTGTGCTAATTAACAATTATATACTACAAGTAGGCTAAAATCATAACTGTCCAGTACTCCTTAACATGATTTTAGCTTAGCGTTACGAATAATTCAATCCTAATTAACCCTTGGCCTTCCTGATTAGGAAGACATGATTATACTCTTCAACATGATATTAGAGAATCGTACGTCCTAAATACGTTAAAAAGTCTCTCTGTCTCTAGAAAGAATCAAGCTACATGTGAGGGACACGCATGTTGAAAACATTTGTAAGATATTAAAAATATGCTCTATTTAATCAGTTAAATATAATTTTAGATGAGATTGTCACACGCTTCAACATTTTCAGAGAAAACACTAATGTTTGAATTAGAATTTAAGAATTTAAATTAAATAAATCTCAGGAGAAAATAATTAAAAGATTTGGTCAATATATATATACAATATTACTATATTCATCAAGTGACACATTAAAAAAGCAGATTTTTGGCTCCATAAATAGAGAAGAACATTTTAGCTTCTATACCACAACTTCTCTCTTTAGTCTTTTTTGCTAATTGCCAATATGCTTCTCTCCAAAAATATTTTCTCCCTTAACACAAGGGAATTATCACCAACTAAATTATTTTCTAAAAAACATTTTTCTTCTAGGTTTGAATATAGTAACAATATTTCATCATTTGAGAATCATAAAATAGCTAGAACAAAATTGTTTTGCATGAAATCTGAAAATGTAGGACACCATCAACTTAAAATCATGCATGGTAATGATAATGGCATAGGGATTGTTGATTTTTTCGAAGGGAAAAATATTCTTGTCACTGGTGCTACAGGGTTCCTAGCAAAAGGTATATATATTATATACACTTACAGTATAAATATTATATTTTTTTAATACGACTTATGAATTTTAACCTATATTATACTTCCTTGTTCTCATTTTATGTGATATATTGTGAGTCGACAAGAAATTTAATAGAGAAAAAAACATTTTTAAAATGTATCTTTTTTTTGGACATATTACGAAGGAATTGGTGTATGCATCACATAAAATGGGACAAAAGAGTAGCATGTCAGTTATCATTAATTTCTATTATTGTTAAGAGATTTATACGTAATTACCTAAGAAGTGATCTGATTGTGTAAATATTTGTGAGGTGTCAGGTATATACTTATACTATATATATATTTGACATAGTTCAAAGACAAATTCAACCCTTTTCTCTAGACATTTTCCAATAACATGATATATTTTTTTATTTTTTATTTTTGCAGCTTTGATTGAAAAAATGTTGAGAACAACACCAAAGGTAAACAAGATCTATTTGCTCATCAGGGCAAAGGATAAGGAAGCTGCATTTCACAGATTAAAAATTGAAGTATGTTTAACAATTCTTTCTTCTATAAATTTGTTGACGAAAGATTTTCAATTGACCATCCTTTGACGATGGTATATACCTAGTCTGGAGCCTCCTTTATCCATTAAGTGTCAATTGACATACTTTTGCCAAAAAAATTACAATGCATATATATAGTTAATCACTTAATTGTTGTGATCCTTCGAAAAACAAAACATGGTAATTGAGACATGCAGAAGGAGTATTTTGACTTTTTTTATTGAAAATTCAAACTTCGTCACTGACTAGCTGATAATGTAAGGAAATTATAGGGGTGTCAAATGGGCGGGTTGAGTTGAAATTGGAGATATTAAAATGGGTTGAGATAGAAATCGGGTTGGGTCTTGACCCGCCCAAGTTTACTTTTGGGCTCAAATGGGTTGGGTTCAAATGGGACTAAAAACGGGTTGGTTCTTGACCCGCCCAATTTGACCCGATTAATCTCAATAATTTTAACATAGTAATATTTAAATTTTATAATCACAATTTGAATTTCCGCTCAATAATATTTTTAAAAAAAGTAACAAATGGATAGATAAATCCTAAAGATGTTAAATAGATAATAATTCATACCTTTAATATAGGAACATATCTTAGTAAAGAGTTTTAAAACGGGTTGAAATTGGAGACTGAATTGGGCTCAATTGAGGATTCTCTTAAAATGGGTTAGGCTTGAATGGATTGAGATTGCACCAAATTCAAATTATCTTAAGCCCAACTCTTAAAATTTTAGGCGGGTTACCTATGTTTGGGTTCATTTTTGACACCCCTAGTAAACTATTTACACCTTGATTTTGTTTAAAATTCAGATTATGGAGTCAGAATTATTCAAATGCCTAGAAGAAATGCATGGTGAATATTACAAGTCATTCATATTGGACAAATTGATCCCTATAGTTGGAAATATATATGAGCCAAATCTTGGTATGGATATTATTACTAGTGACAAAATTGCTCAAGAAATTGATTTGATTGTTGACTCTGCAGCCATCACTACATTTGATGAGAGGTTAATTCTCTCTCTTTAATAAAAATAAATAATTATCAACTATAGTATATATACACAATTTAATTAGCAGTTTTTTTAATTTTTATTTTGGTTTTAATTATGTTTCTAGGTATGATTTAGCTCTTGATGCTAATGTGAATGGTCCATATCAACTCATGATGTTAGCAAAGAAATGCAAGAAACTTAAACTTCTTATGCATTATTCCACTGGTATGATTTGATCGAGTTTAAGTTATATATATTTACAATATGAATCTTATATTTTTTTAAAAGAGTTTTATATATGCATTGTCTATGTATAGATTTTTATACTATCATGTTAAGTTGACTTACAATAACAGATAAATTTTCTTAGTACAATATTGAATTAATTAATTTATTTTATTTAAAGCATTTGCCAATGGAGAAAGAGAAGGATTAATATTGGAGAAGCCTTTTACTATGGGAGAAAGCATAACAAAGGAAAAAATCACTTCAATTTCTCCTTATACTAATTTTCCATCATTGGATGCTCACAATGAAATTGATTTGATTTCAAAGTTGAAGAAAAATATTACAAATAATATTGGCTTGGAACAAATAATGAAGGATTTTGGACTTGAGAGGTATTTAATTTTCTCTCTCTTTATATAAAATAAATTATATATATAATATTATTAAAATTAATTAATATTTGTTGATTAAATAGAGCAAAGTTATATGGATGGCAAGATACATATTCATTTACAAAGGCAATTGGTGAAATGATGATAAATAATATGAGAGATGAAATTCCAATACTTATTATTCGACCCTCTGGAATAACAAGTAGCTATAAAGAACCTTTTCCTGGATGGATACAAGGATTCAGGTATTTTTTTTTTCTTCTTCCCGATACATCGACGATCTCTTAAATTTGTTAAGTTTTGTTTAGATATTCGAACTATAGTATGTTTTGATTGAACAGTTGAATACATGATAAAATATTTATCTTAGACACTTCTGACAGTTAAAGAAAAAAATTTGTATGTGTTCACAAGCGCTAATACGTATGTAGATAAGTTAATTACATAAAATATATCATCTCCTTTAATTGGAACATACTTGAGATTTTACAAGTTATTGAGGCTGTTGCGTATGATAAAGAGATAGGAGTTGACATATTTTAAGTGTCAAATAGAAACACTCGATCATGTGCACCATCAAAAGATATAGTAATTCGAATATCTAAATTAAATTTATTGACAAATTAAAAAAATTATCGATGAATTCTGCTTATTTATAAAAAAATTAGCAAAAATATTTATGTTTTTGATTTTTCAAATTGTCTTTTTGTCGTAATTAGGATAATCGATCCATTAGTCTTTTTCTATCGAAAGGGTGACCTCCCTGCCCTTCTTGCTGATCCTGATTGTCTTGTTGATTTGGTAAGTATACTTTTTCAATAGATTTAATATTTATAATTGCGTCCGTTATTGTTAAAGTATGTGACCATTTTACTTTAATATTTAAGATATTAAAGAAAATAAAGTTTTATTTATTTAATTATTAATTCATATGCTCCCTTACAATTCAATTACCTGATTCCTTTTTATGGCCCAAATACATGATAGGTGATTGTTCAACTCGAACCTTAGACCAATACTACATACTTTGATACAATGTTGAAATGAGTGATCCTTTCATTTAAAAATTTAAGATATTAGAGAGAGCCCATTTTATTTAATGATTATATCTTCAACATGTTCTCATGTCCCGACCTAATTCCTTCTTACAAGCCAAACACATGGAAATAATTGGGAGCGCGTGAGATCGCACTCAGGGACCAGTATTACCTACTGCTATACAATGTTCAAATGTGTGACTATCTCAATTAATAATCTTTGATATACGTACACATATTTCTGACTTGTATTCACTTGATATAGGTTCCTGTTGATATGGTTGTAAATACAACAATGGCTGCTATGGCAAAACATGGAAATTTGCAAAATCCACAACTAAATGTTTATCATGTGGCATCATCATCTATAAATCCTGTCACATTTTCTCAAATTTTTGACTATTCCTATGATTGTTTCCAATTATTTCCTTTTGTTAATTCAAAAGGAGATAAATATGAGGTTAGAAAAATGAGATTTTTTGACAAAATATCAGATTTTGAAAATTATATTTGGGAGGTATTATCCAAGCAGCATGAAGTACAAGATGGAAAAAAGCTTACAAAGATCCAAATACGTTTAATTAAAAAGAAGGTGGAATATTTGAAGAATTTCAGCAAACTTTATGAACCCTACTTGTTCTACAAAGGCTGGTACGTGTGATATTTAGTTTATCATTTTTGAATTTATAATATTTACGAGACGATCAATACATGACTCTGATATTTCCTAAATGAAATGTTTTATAGTGACATAAATGAATTAAGACAGAAAGAATATGTCATTACTAAAATATCATGAGAAATGGATGTGTAATTGCTAAAAAAATTATCTTTTTAACTTTTACTCGATGTTCAGTATTCGTATTAAGATCTGATTATTTCATAAATAATTTTTCTTTTCTTTTCTTTTGCTAGGTTTGACAATGGCAATGTACGAAAGCTAATGGGAGACATGTCTGAAGAAGAAAAAAGAAGCTTTGAAATTGATGTGACAAAAATTAATTGGAAAAATTATATTGAAAATACCCATATTCCTGGTGTACAAAAATATGTACTAGAAGGGAAAAGGGTAAATTAATTCTTAATATTGGAACAATTAATTAAGAGTATTTGTTTGTAATTTGTGTGAAACATTTAATTATTCAAGATTATATTTCATTTATGATTGTAATATTATTGGGTGTACTTGTTTGTTGTTTAATAAAAAGAGATTGTTTGACACTAATTCCTATTTTATTCTGTAGGATTAGTTTAGATTTTAATTTTCTGAGAGTATAGTGCTATTTCGTTCTAGGGTTTGAAATTAAAATTTTAAGGTCAATCTTTAGTCTTGTATACAATAATGAACGTAAAATGAACTAAGATAACACTTATTATTAAACAGAAGAATAGTGGGCTGTTACAGGTTGTTACGAATCTTCTACTATAATTTTTGTTAACATTATTAATTAATTGCATAAACTTGATTTCATCACCTATAAATTTGTGCTAATTAACAATTATATACTCCAAGTAGGCTAAAAAAACAAGTGTTCACTCCTTATCATGATTTTAGCTTAGGGTTACGACTAATTCATTGTGTCCGCTCCTAACCTTTAGACCTTTTCGAAAGAGTTACCCTCTTCAACATGGTATTAGAGAAGACAAACGTAGTATAGGTTGAAGTCTCTCCGTGTTAAAAAAGAATCAAGCCACATGTGAGGGGTGCTCAGAGGCGGATACCTACCTTTATAAGTGGGGGTACACGTGTACCCGTTAACTTCGGAAAAATATCGTGTCTATGTAACATCTCGCAACTAGAAAGAACTAGAAGGAAGTTTAAAATCTGGAAATTTGGTAAAGGTGTTAAAGTGAGTTTTTGGTCAACTTCAAACGGCCATAATTCCTAGCTCAGAATGAGTTAGGTGTGATTCCAGATATGGTTGGAAAGCCCTTGGAATGATCTTTCCAACGCCACCGAGTTTGTGCGATTTCGAGTTTGTATGAGTAAGTTATACCCTTTGGAAGTTGGAATGTTGGATGAAGGAAAGTCCAAATCCAGATTTTTGAAGGGTAGTTTGGTCTTTTCCTTACCCTTTTATTTTAATTCGTTTTTGGTAATTACTTAGGGGTCTAAACTGAACTTAGTCAGTTTACGCTTTTGGAAAAAGAGTTAGGGTTTTGAGAGAAGAGAAAAGAAGAGGAGAAAAGAGGAGCGTTCAAGATTCGTCGAGATTAGCTTGTGGATTTCATCGGGGGTGATCCCTACAATGTATGTGAGATAACATAGCGTTGAGTTAATTCGCCCACGCGCCAACCATGATTTATTTCAGCAAATTTAAGTTCTTGGAAGCTTAGAAATTGAGTTCTTGAATGGGTTTGTTGAGGTTTCATTAGATTCTTGTTTCGTTGAATTCGTTGAGGAGTTGTTTGATCCTAATCTGTGATTTTAGGTTCGATTTTGAGTAGAATCTGATGTACTTTGAACATTTAATCGATTCTAAGTGTTGGGTAAAAGAATCCACAGAGTTTAGAGGGTTTAGAGCTGAAAAACGAAGAAGAAATTTTGTCAAACGAAATTGGGAGGTGGTGGCGCGTCGTGGAGCTGGTTCCCAGAATTGGGAATTTTCATTTCGCGTCACGGAGTCTTCTACCTCAAATTCATTTTCGAATCTAAATTTTAAAAGCTTCTCCGCGTCGCGGACCCACCCTCAAATATTGATTTTTGGTCTTTTCTCTATGTTTAGCTATCTAAAATCATTCTTAAACATCATGAGGTCTTTCCAATCACAAATTACAATCCTTGAATCCATAATTCAATTCAAGGACCAGTTAAGAGTCAAATCAAAAGCAGTTAAAATCAAAAGTCAAGAGAAGTCAAGAGTCAAGTTAAGACAAATTCATAAAGTTTTCCAAAAGTTTTTTGCAAGCGTTTTAACCTTGTTTTAAGACTTAAGTTTTGAGTTTAGTAAAAAGTAAAGTTGAAGTTCATTTCTTCAAAAGTATATGGGAACTAAGTATTCCCAAAGAGATTTAAAATGTTTTCACATTAAAATAAGAACAGAAACTGAAATTTCCAAAGAGCCACATCAAAACTATCACCCATGCTATAGTCCAGCAATCCAGTATGGTCACACTGGTGATTGATGAGTACTGATATGCTTTATTTACTGCAATACATTCAACGAAAGTTAAAATTTCGTATCCTGGATGATTGTGACTACATTAAAGTTCTAAAAATCATATAATGACATGAAATTACTATGGGAAACCTTTCTACCACATATATTCAACCACAATACAGAGGACTAATTGAGCTATGAAAGAAGAACAACCACTTGAGCAGAGTATGATTCCCTCCGTTTCAATCTGTTTGTCTTGCTTTCCTATTTAGTCCGTTTAAAAAAGAATGTCTCTTTTCTTTTTTTACTACTCTTTAATTCCATTTTTCCACGTGACTTGTTTAACACCACAAGATTAAAGGGAAGAATGTATCTTTAGTTTTAAGACCATAAGATTCAAAAGTCTTCTTTACTTTCTTAAACTCCGTCTCCGTATCAAGTCAAAACCAAACAAACAAATTAAAACGGAGGAATATACAAAAATGGGTTGGAATAGATGGCACTTCACGTCAATGTTGCGAGCACAGTAATGGTTCAAGAGTTAATATGGAACAAGTCGAGAATGTCTATTTAGCGGAGAATGTCCATTTACCAAGAAAATTTCCCTGGACATCAGCTAAGCCTAGAAGTGCATACCAATACCAAGGAACTGTTAGGGTTTTGCCCTGATTTTCTTACCATAATTTAAGATTTATTTTTTCTTAAAGAAAAAACAAAACATTACCATAAATGTTTTTACTTTTCTTGAAAGGAAAATATAATATTATTTTATATTTGGTTTATTCTCTCCTTTTAGGACTCCTTTTCTAGTAGGAAAGATTTTAGGACTCTATAAATATAGGTTTGTTTCTTCTAACATAAAAAACAATAACATTCACAATGTAGTCGTTTAAGACTTTTGTTTATGGAGAGATTTATTCTCTCTAAAGTTTCAATGTTTTTCTTTATATTAGTTTTGATATAATAATATTTAACTTTTAGTATAAGTTTTTGTTATCTGATTTATCAACTATATGATTTGCAAATTGTAAGCTTCCGCATGACGCCCTAATCACCCTTCAGAACCCAACAGGAACCTGCAAACTCAAGACAATATTCAATCGGTAACCATTACGTAAAACTAAAAACAAACTTCACTTAAAATAAAATGAAACTCATGAATTATTTTCACTACTATAGCATAACAATGAACAAATTTTAATGAGTTGTTTACAAATTTGTTTCATCAATGTCAGTATTATTGTGTAGTGGAATGAACTGATCCAAATATATATATCAAAACCAGCTTGTCTGGGATTGAGGGAAGGAGTGGAGCCACAATGGTGGCTACGAGTTCAGCAGAATCCAGTAACTTTTGTTCGAACCTTATATTTGTGTTAAATGTACAAATAATCTAACAAAAACGCACTAAGCAAAAATAACTATAGTCCAGAACTCATAAACTAAAAATTTTAGTCCCGCCTTTGATTGAGGGCGTATAGTTATTGTTAGTTATGTTTGTTAATTAAGCAATATCAAAATAGACTCTTGAATAATACTCTCTCAGTTTCAACTTGTTTGTCTTACTTTTCTTTTTAGTCAGTTTTGAAAAGAAAGCCTTTATCTTCTCCTTTTTCTTAGCATTTCTTTAATTCTAAATTTCCACGGGACATGTTTAAGACCACTTATTAAAAGAGATTTTGGTACATTCTGTTATCTTTAGTTTAAGACATTCAAAAGTATTTCTTACTTTCTTAAATTAAGAACCGAATTAATACCAGACAAACAAATTAATATAGAGGAAGTAACAAAATACCTGTAATTTCTGCCTCCTGTAAATCATGATTCCTCCATACACCAAAGCTAAAGCTGTGTAAGAGAAGAATGACAGGGAAAGTGGAGTATTTGCACCTACAAATGCAAAACAAAATAAAACACAAATAATCAACAAAATGCCTCTCAGTTTCTCCCTCCGTTTCAATTTGTTTGTCATACTTTCTTTTTAGTCCATTTAAAAAAAAAAAGATACATCTTCACAATTTTTACATCTTCTTAATCTCAACTTTCCACGTGTCATATTTTAAATCACAAAATTAAATAACATTTAGGTATATTCTATGTAACTTTAGTTTAATTTAAGTTAACAAGATACAATCTTTCGTTCATTTCTTAAAGTCCATATCAAGTCAAAACTAATCAAACAAATTAAAGCAATGGATTATCAAGATTCATTAATAAACAAAACCCCATTTAGCCTAACTAAATAAATCATAATAATTCAACAACAAAAAAAAAGTATCCCTACCCCCCACCCCCCACCCCACCACCAACTTCAACCCCCAAAAGTAATAATCAAGAAAATCAAACTTACCAAGATTTGCCACTAGAGAAGAAGTTGAAGCTCATAAGTGCCATAACAAAAGAAACAACTTGACCCAAAAACACAGGGTAAAAAGTCTTTAATATCCCTTCATAATTCCTCCACCAGCTGCTATTATTATCCATAGAAAAAGAAAAAAAAATCAAATCTTTACCAAAAAAAAAAAAGGAATTAATAAAACCTCTAGCTTCTATAAATAGAGAAAAAAAGAAAGATCTGTTATGTATTTATGGCTTCTTTTCTTTTTCTGGTCAAATTTTCAGATCCCAAATCTGAGCTGATTTTTTTTTTTTTTTTGAAGAAAAAGAATAAGTGGTCCTTTGTGGAGTATATATTAATAAGTAGTAATAGTACAGTGGCGGGAGTTAGCTACCTAACAGTCAAAACACATTCTCATTACTCCTATTCTAGACTTTCATGATCATGTCTTAGCCTTCGAGTTCGAGTTTTGAGTATTATATTAGTAATGATATATTTAGTGAATTCTATAAGTGAGATATGGTGAAAGTGGATGTAGATAGATTTTATCATTATTTTGTTAATGTAAAAAGAAACTATTTTCGAAAATAAAAAAGAAAAATACAGTGAACAAAGTATAGCAAGTTGCAAGGTAACAACACAAAGACTATCGAGTTCTAAATATAGATAAAAACAAAGTGATAAAAATAGTTTTGAGATATTTTTTTTTTTAATAAATAGCGCAAATAATGATTAACAAATATATATATTAGAAGGATATTTAAATTTAAATTAATCGTTAAATTAAAAAAAAATAAAAAAATTCAAACCATAGATGTAAGAATGATCAGATATATCTTTGAATTTGCTAAAAAGATCATGTTGACTTTTTTAAGAAAAAAGTTACGATTAATTTTTTTATTTCCATTAGACAAGAAAGTATATCTAAATCATTTCAGTAACAATAATTATTTATTTAAGTAATTTTAATATCAATCGGATATATTAACTCTAAATCGCAAATTGAGAGACATGTTATATTTATTTTTTAAAAATAAAATTAGTTTTTCGACACGTGTGTTGCACGTGATTACCAATTCAAAAAATATATGTTATAGTAAATAGTATTGCTTATTTTAGGGAAGATTTGAATAATAAGTTTTGCACAAAATAATATTGCAATTTTTTTTGTGAATGTTCAATGTGGATCACTATATATATCTCTTATTCACGTGAACCTATGAAGATGGTCAATGAAAATTTTTATTAGCTAAATGCATATATTTATTTCAATTTGCTGAGGTTCAATCATGTAATTGGGCGTATCTCAATAATATTACCTTATAGACGATATTTGTTGTGTATTTTTTTTGTTATCTAACCAGATGTGTTTGCACGTGTATTTCACGTTAAACTGTTCAAATGTCATATGAACATGTGAAGAGAACAACTACATTTTATTTTTTAGAACTAATTTAAAATAATATATTTTGAAGTTAGAAGATCTTGTTAACTTGATAATACATTTGTGACATATATAAAACTTTAATTGAAATACAAATACCTACCCATATATATACACTAGATTGGCAAGGCCCGTGCCCAACACCAGTAAAATCACTTATGTGTACACTTTTAAAAAAATATTTACAATATTTGTCAACATTATATATATAACAATTTGGCTAAATTACAGTATTGCTAAAAGTTGCGAATGACAACACTTTTTGCTAAATTTTAAAGGAACAAAATTGGTTTAAGTAAGTATTGCTAAAGTTGACAAAATGGTAATAAATTAAAAGTCTACTTAAAAGTGGTAATTATTAAATAAAAGACCTTCACTTATGTAATTTTTCCTATAATTAAATTGTTTTTCTAGCTAAGCCCAAACAGTTACTGTACAATTGTTCCTCAATAACATGATATTGAAAATGAAATATGAAAGTTTCATCAATCAAACATTCTAAATTCTTTGTAGCACTGCAAAAACCTTCACCCACAATGAATCATAATGGACAAACACGAGTTCTTCCGCGCACATCTTTTCACCATTCCCTTGAGAACTGTAATTGCTTCTATTACTGCAAGTTGTGAACAATATGAAACTTAATGTTTCCAACCAAAAATACACTAAAGAAAAAGAATCAACTATTACTCTGCACAATAGTTATTAGGTAGTGAAACACTCACAAAATTGTGGAGTACAATAGAAAAAAAATAATTAAAAAAGCAATATTGGTAGTATAAGTATGTACATTTCTAAAATTGTCATGTCACTATATGAAGCTCAATAAACCATACATTTTTTTACATATAAAACAAAGATAAAAGGAGTATGGATGAAATTTTTTGGACTTACTTCTTCTTTCTCCATCTCAGAGAGAGTTAAAAAAAATTGACTACTTCACTTGTAAGAGAAGATGTTTTCAACAAAAGAATGTTTTAGGAAACCTCGTTTTAATTTGTTGCAAACTTATTTGAGCAATTAGTCTTAAAAGGACCTTCACCCAAGGCAATCCAATGGCTACTATTCATGTGCATTTCACTTCTCTTATTCATTAAAAACAATCCTTCCTTTCTAATGCTTTATTTTTACCATTCTTATACTCATATAAGTTTACTTGATTGACATGCCAAAAAAGAAAGATCTCATAGCAACAATACATATTATCAATAGAGATATGGTAGTATTTTCTTACTTCAAATAGATGTATGATTCTAAAATCAGCATGTCCTTCTCAAGTCTGACTTTCTCTTTTTCATTGAGAGGAGGGTGAGCAACTTTAAATCTACTAATACATAATATTTCAACTTATCCTTTAGCTGGTTTTGTAATAAGCTCTCAAACAAGTTTAACGATTATGCCCTTCTTGCTCTGTAAAAATTGGCAGAAAAAGAGAAAGTGCAAAAACATCTTAGTACATAAAAAATGATTATTATTTATCAAGAGTACATAAAATAACTAATGCAATCCAGTTTGTTGGGTAATCCAACAACTTTCATCAGTTTAGATGGCTCTAATCCTCTTTTTGTTCTGAACCTAAAGTGATGTTATAACTTGAACTTCTATTTTTGAACTTAGTACAAACTTCTTCAGGATTAAATTCAATAACATGATCTGAATACAATAAAGTGCACCGAAAGAAGAGATGGAAACTTTTGGTGACTGAGCTTATCCCTCAAACATAAATGTAATTATCACTCAATTTAGAGATACCTCGAAAATTAGGAAGTTGTAAACTGCCTCTAGAACAGGTGAGAAAATGTGCAACATACTGTGTCTGAATCTCTCATGGCTTATCTATGACTTAGTATCGTGGAAGATACAGTTTCCACAAGTGAATCAATCTCCCACATTTATATCCAAATGCACCAATTAGCTGTAGAAAAAACCTTTCCTATTCTGATACAAAGTAAACTTTCATGCTGCTATTTAAAATTTCAATTAAAAGAAACAAAAAAAAAAAGACAAAAGAAAACACTTATCCTGCACTTGTTCTTATCATGTTGAGCATCAAGTTAAAACCATACTCCTGGGCCCGTGATATATCTACCCAAGATTGAAAAGTATAGAAAACATCAAACATGGAACTCATAAGGGATGTTATTACTTTGCCTTTCACATTTGCAATATCAGCACAAATGCAATAACATAGTAATTCACGTCTAACTAAATTGATTGTTGGAATGATGTTCACAAGTAACAACTAAGCAACTGAGAGGTACTGCTCATGACAATATATTCACTCGTCTTGACATTCTAAAGACAGAAGTAAATTGAAGCATTGAATGTTATTGATTCAAAACTACAACCTTAAGAAAAGCTAATATCCTTTTCATTTGATCATTTTGAAGCTACAATAGGAAAATTAACATGGATCATCATAACTTATGCGACAAATGGCATTTCCACTACAAAAAGTCAGGTCGAGTTGCTGCTCTTTCCGATTTAGTTAGAATACCAACTCTATATACCTTTAGTATTTAGTTCTTAGAAATCCAGAAAGAGTGGGATAAAAACACACATTCGTTTATGAAGGCAAATATTGTTTTATAGAAGATTCAAAGTTCTTGCAAGTTCCTTTAAGCAGCAAAATGAACTTCTTACAGCTTCGTTCAAGAGTTGCATGCTGCACATTACCAGATAGGAAAGGAAAAAGGTGCCGGACTGGTAGATTACAGATGAATGATTTTGTAATCACTCACTTGCAGTTCTCTATACCTTGTCTTAAATCTTTCCAGTCCATCTTTAGTAGTGAATTACTAACTCTTAACAAAGCTTCTAAATGATAATTTCCTTCGTATATCTCTTGAAAAGCTAATCATACATTCAACTTATAAGTGAAGCAGAGGATATTTAAAACAAAGAACATGAAGCATATTATCACTCTTTTGGCAAGAAACAATATGAGACTCCAGCAGAAACTCATTGATGAATGAGCATCTATATATTTGGCATGAAGAAGATATAGAACAATGCAGATCATACTTGTAGCCTATCATGAAACGCCCAACAATCCCCTTTTCTTGCTCTAATCTATGTAGCTTTGCACCTATGCAAACACACAGAATGTTGTCAAAAGGAGGAAGAAAATGAAAACGGAAGAAGTATATACATCAATAATGTTAATAATTAACACCTTGAGGCATCCAAGTCTGTCTAATAGAATCGCGCCTTTTTCTACTACTGAAGGTCGTGTTTATCCCCAATAACCATAAATGTCTTCTTTCTGGGTCCTACGTCCTCCAGAATCTGTGCTCAAGGAAGGAACCTCTTCAGTTATCCATGGAATTAGAGGATCCTTAGTTGAAGGCAGCTCACTTTGAATCTTAGATATTGAATCATCCAACGATCTGTTGAATGCTCCGATAAATAGAAGGACCATCAAGAACAGAACTAAGTAAAACATCATAAGTTTTGAACAACACTTCTTCTCTACTTCTTTTTTTTAGCATAAGTTTGTAAAAACAAGGTGAAGCTCACAAACAAAAACATACTTCTTTTGTGGTGTAACATATATTGTCATGTTAAGTACAAAAAATAAAGTGTAAGGTAATCACATTAAAACTCTAAAACTCACTGGTTAGCTACTTGGGCTTTGTTAAACTTTCCCATCATCTCCTCCTTCTGCTCATAAAACATCATCCATATTTAGAAAACTGCAATAATAACTATAACAATGACAAAAGAGAAGTTCTATTCTTTGTTTGTTGGGGGGTGGGGGGTTGGAAACAAAATTAATTTTACCGTCTTATCAACATCATGTATTAGCACAATTAAATAATGTATTAGCACCATTCATTCCAGAATCTCATAAAAAATAGTATACAGTAACAAAAATGTCCACTTTCACTTATGCTTAGCTTTTACCACTTAAAGAAGATTATTTTTTGCCGTTTACATCTTCAGCTTCACATTTATTTCTTGAAACACACTGGATAGGTACTTGGGCTTTGTTAAACTTTCCCATCATCTCCTCCTTCTGCTCATAAAACATCATCCATATTTAGAAAACTGCAATAATAACTATAACAATGACAGAAAAAAAGTTACTATTCTTTGTTTGTTGGGGGTGGGGGTTGGAAACAAAATTAATTTTACCGTCTTATCAACATCATGTATTAGCACAATTAAATGATGTATTAGCACCATTCATTCCAGAATCTCCTAAAAAATAGTATACAGTACAAAAATGTCCACTTTCACTTATGCTTAGCTTTTACCACTTAAATAAGATTATTTTTTGCCGTTTACATCTTCAGCTTCACATTTATTTCTTTTTTCACACCTCAATTTTCGTGATTTCTTAATTTGACTTTCATAGTTTTACATGTGTTCGGTCAAGAGGTCATTTTACTTGCACAAAGTTTCCAAGGTAATTGACATTTTCTTTTTCGTCCAGAGTTGTTGATAGTCAAGTAAGAAAAGTCTTATTAACCTATTGGTAGGGAACCCTGTCAATTCACTGTCAACAAAAAAACGTAAAGATCATCTAGAGTATCTCAAAAATGCCACTATCTTTGCACACTGTTGTTTGACATAGACATATATTTACTGTTTGTTTTAGGTAGATTAAGTATGTGAAAGAAATTAACAGAAGAGCAAGATGTTATGTCATTATAACCAAAGTATACACTTATCTGAATTAATAAAGAAGACAAATATCTTAGTATTTAGTAACCTGCAAATCAATAGTGGAAAGAATATATTCTTTTCTGTCTTGACATCAAAGTATAAACACGCCACAACTAACAATTGAAGTTTTTTCAATTTTACTTCCCAACAAATCCCAAGATAGCATAGTAGAGGCAATCATCAGTTTTTAAAGTTCAAAACTCAATAGAAAAAAGTGCTAAATGAAAGATGAATTGCACGTTACATCGACTTATAAGAAATTCATAGAAAGATCTAATAGAGTTGGGCGAATAAATATACTCAAATCCCAAATATGAGCCGAAAAGGTACACAAGACGAAAATCATGCAGAAACCAAATAGATGACGACTCTTACATAGATTAGTACCAATCCAATCGAAATTCTAGGTTCAATTAAACGACATAGTACTTACTAATATTGTCTAGTAGTGCTAAATAATATAGCTCTTGAATTGGTGAATGCGATGCAAGGTATAGAAGTCCTGTGTTAAGAAAAAGGACTTCTTTAGTTACTTTAGGCACATCAAACATAAAATTAATTCATAAGAAGTGTTTGAACAAACAATTAATCTCCTGTAAGGAATGAACAAAGAAGCATGACGGACAAAGAAACAAATATATGTATCACCCATTAAAAATTATTAAATGACAGACTTGATTGAAAGAAAAATAAGAAGAAAGGCTGAAATCTAGATACATAAAGAAGTCTAAATGAAAAATAAAATCAAAGGTACTATTTTTAGAGAAATTCAGAATTTTACCTCCATTTGGAAACATGATCAACCTTTTTAACTTCAAATGGTAAGAGCCCATGAAAAATGGATATAAATTAATAACAATGACAAAAGTAGTAATTTATCAACAACCAAAAAAGGGTCAATTACCAGCGGAGTACTTTTATGGCATCATCCATCATCTTCAAAACATTACCAAGGAATTGATTAAAATAATAATATTAATTAAATGTGTCAAGACCTGAGAACTGATCTTATAAAAGGGCTACTGGATACTATTGTGGCCAATCCTCTTTGCCATCTTTTCTTCACATCTTAACCACTGAAATACCACTAGAATTTTATTTTAGTTCTTTGAGGGTTCATAGAATTTTACTAACAATATTGTGGAAACACTAAAGTAATGAGCATTAGAGTCCTTCTTGAAGATAGAATATTAAATGGGAATACTATATTTTGAAAGTATCTTCTCGCAAAATTTTCAATTTTTTGTTCATGAAATTAAGGTCCTTCACATGTAAATATCTTCTTTTGACTAAATATATGTGCAGTACATCAAAATGTCAATTTGAACCTTGTGGTCTTAAACATGTCACGTAGAATGTTAAGATTTAAGAGTTATGAATATAGAAAAAGACATTCTTTTTTAATAAAGTTAAAAAGAAAGTGAGACACATAAATTGAAATCAAGGAATTGTTTTACTTATTCTAACAAGGCAATCATGAAATGCATTCTGAGTACGGCTGCAACAATATTTAAAGCTTTTGGAACTTGCTGCTGATTTTTTTTTTATATCACCTCTCAGACAACACTGGTTCAAGAATAATAGTTGGTAAGCTCAATAACGATGAAGTAACTGAAATTAGAGAAAAAGAGTGCAAGAATAAGACTTTGTACCTGCAAGTTTTTCTTTTTTATTTTCAGAACGTATAACAATTTGCAAAATAGAGGTTCACAATTATTGATTAAAAATTGTTAATGTGTAAGCTCTTACTAATGGTAATCTATACATTCAAGTTTAAATATTCAAAATTTCTTCATATTGATTGCTACAGAAAGTATCACCTGCCAATTATGTATGATAAAAACTACTCATTTGATAAATTCTTAAACCTTGGTATGTAATTACAGCATATCTAAAGTGTCATAAGCCAAAAATGTTGAGCTAGTCAGTGTGTATTGATGTACGAAAGTTCAATATACTTTTGCAATTTATTTTTACCTAAGCTACTAAAATCATTCATGAAAAATAGAGGGAAAATATAAGCATACACCAATCAGATCACTACCAAAAATTAGGGGTCAATAGAAAAAATAACCGAAAGAGTTTTCGCGTCCACCAGAAAGTTATTTAACAGAAAATTGAGAAACTCCACAAGAAATCCAAAAGTGAAGAACAAAAGGAGGAAAATTGGAAGATGAAGGAGCAAAATTAGGGTTTAGGCAAATATTTTTGGTCTCACCTGTTAAAGAGCAGCAAAATGATACAAGTACCCCCAATTGAAATGCATGCCTGAAAGTAAGCTAGCTCAAATTCCAAACACTGATTTATTAGGTTCGTTGTTTCTGCAGTATAAAATAAAATAATTTTCCTTAAGATACCAAATTGAGAATTAACGTAACAAACCTACGGTAAAAGATTGCTCCTCTCCGAATGCTTCCTCGTCCTCTCTGGGTCTGAGTGAAAATTGATGGACATGTAAGAAAAAGAATGGAGAAATGGAAAGACCTAGAAGAGAGTAGGAGAAACCAAAGTAGTCAATGACAGGTGAATTGCAGCAAACGTACAGATCCCTAAAAGTAACAGTAAAATCACCCATGTGCCCTTGTTCATCCGGTAGAAATCTCCTAAATTTAATGGTAAAATTACATCATTGTCCTTGTTAAGTAAAGTAAAATATATATATAATAAAACAAAGACACGTGGGGCGTTAAAAGAAATTACACCGCAGGTTATAAAGACACGTGAGGACTTAAAAAGAAATTACACGGCAGGTTATAATTAATACTTATGTATTATCAATGGTAGTACAATATTTGTTAAATAAAGTGGACCCTAACATAGTACAACTTAAATGTTAGTACAATACTTGTTGAATAAAGTGGGCCCTAACATAGTATAACTTAACTTACATTTGGAACAACTTTTTGGAGCTGTGTTTGTCCTTCACAACTCCCTCTTCTAAATAAGGGTAAAATAAATATATATATGAGCTTTTCTTCGTCTGAAATACTGTAATATTAAGAATAGTAAATAAGTAAAACAAAAAGACAATGTTTATATAGTAATAACTATTTTGAAGCAAACTTCCTAACATTCTAAATCACATTGATAAATAAAGTCATTCTTTTGTCTTGAGCATCAAAAAAGCAAATTGTGACAGTTCTCTAACTCTTGAGAAGTTTAATAATTTTGAAAACAGATGTTCAGAAGCATATATTTACTTCACATGAGAAATTTATAAAAAAAAATAAAAATGAATTTAGACTACATCATGTTAACTTTATATATTGGAACATTACATACTAATGTATATATTATGCAAATTGATGGCCTTTCAGTAGTGCCAATCGAGAAGTTCATCAGTCAACAACTCTGAGGAAAAAAAACAAGGCAGTTTACTCAAACATCAAAGATCACTATGAAAAGGGGAGGTAAATACAACCGCATTTTGACAATAATAATGACGGTGTGTTCCTTCACAAACTATTAGAAAAGAAGAGAAAATGTGAAGGTACAAAATGCAACGTAGAGACACCAGAGAAATATTGAGTGAAGGAAAAGGACAGATACGTTTTCTGTAATCCCCATGATAAAATTTCTCATCTTTTTGCTTAATTCTTCTATTGTTGGTAGAACATTGAAGCATATCATCAAAGGGGAGTTAACACCACAACCATGCACTTAGCAAGTTACAAATGGACCACTATTAGCAACTGATTTATTTTTGATATGATAAATTATTGCAGAAAAGGCAGCACAAGGCTGTCATACAACTAATGACACAAGTAATACACCGATGAAAATGTACATTTTCTGTTTTCACCAAAAAGAAATCTTTCTTTCCACTCACAAACTCGACAGTAATCAGCATATACTAAGAGCAAAGGAATCACTTACAACAGTATTTGAACTAACTTAATGACAGTAAATCTCATGAAATCTTTTAAAATGCAAGAAGAAGAAGAAGAGTAGAAGATTAAAAAATTGTGGTTGAAATAAAATGAGAGGAAGCCCCTCTATTTATGACTACAAAGGGTGGTATGAACAAGTATTTTTGTATGTCTTATCGGAAAAGTCATGACCTTTTGAGAAGTCACAACCCTTTGAAAAAGTCACACAACTCATCGAAAAATCACAATTCTTCGAAAAAATTCATAACTCATCAAAAAAGTCACAACTCATCGAAAAAGTCAAAATCTAAGTTAGGAATATAATAGTAATTTAACATTTAAATGAAGAGTTCATACTTTTAAGATGATATAGATAATCACCCAAATTACACTAACTGCCGTCACCCACCTTCTGACAGAAGCAGCCGACAATTTTAATTGAAGTAATGTTAGATAAATTGATTTTTTTCTTGCAGTCTTTTTCAATAGCTAACCATTTTTAATTAATACAACAACACAATTATTCAATAAATTCTTATAAATGGCCTTTGAAAATAATAAAGTGTATGCGGATTTTATATGTACTTTAAATGGTAGTTTGGTGAGAAGGATAATATCAAATAGTCTAAAGATTAAATTATAACATCATTTAATTTATTGTATGATTGATAAGTTTGAGATAACTTTTGAAATTAATAATTAGTATAGTAATAAGCTGCTTATTTTCTTAGGTGGTGTAGTAATTTTGGTACAATCTATAGAGAGATAAAATAAGTAAAATGACAAAGATATCTCTTTAAATCCTTTTTATACATCACATTTTTATATTCATGTATATTACATTATTTTAATACCTTATATAATAACATTTACAATATTTACTATTCCTTATTTTTATGATAATTCTTCATATTTTTCTATTAAAATATTACACTATATAAATATATTTTTTATTTATGAATTTATTTGACTAATTGTTATGTTTATTTTATATTTTGATTTCTCATAAATCATTTATCACTTTTAACAAACTTAAGATAAAAGTTATATTTTAAAGCTAAATAAGAAGAAATTTTTATTTTTAAATACATACGGTACTATAATGGAGTGCACACACAAAAATATTTAAGCTAAATAAGATGAAAATTTATTTTTAAGATACCTAAAGCTTGGAGAAAAAAGTTAAATAAAGTATTTTTGTAAGTAAACAATTTATTCTAAAAATTTATACAATGTATATTATTTTGAATATAACAAACTAAATCCTCAATAAAACTAATCTCAACATAACTAATTTAGCATAACTTATCTCACTATAATTAATCTTATCATAACTTATATTTAAAACAAATGATCCCTAAAAATTAAAATGATTATTTCTGATATCACCACAACAAGTATTTGTGTACTCAAATAATTCAATTGCTTTTGTGGTACCTCATAAATATTTGGTGATAAAGATGTGTACGTGCACCAAGTGATTATTCCCCCACTAAACATTTGGAAGCCACACCATTACTAGATAACACGATAGTACCTATGGAAAAATTAAATAATTAGACCATACTAAGTAATTAAGAAAAATATTGAAATTATTAATAGATTTATTAAAATTTAAATGAGCAACTTTCACATATAGCAAACATAAAAATTATATTTGTGTGTTATAGATATAGTTTGCATAATTGCGCTCTATAACAAATTTTATGTTTGCTATGGAGCTTTTGATTTGTATAATTCGCTTGATACATCCAATTTTATACAATTGTTCAATTTTGTATAAATTCATCTATACATTGTAATTTGTATAATAAGATCTGTATTTGTATAATTATAAGTATATAAGACGAAAATATATGTATATGTATTTGTATTTGTATATACACTGTTCTCTCGCTTTATACAAACACAAACACATTTTATATATTTTATACCGAAATGTATAAAATGGCTAATTGTATACTGAATCAGATGGCAAAAAAAAGGGGATGTTTGCTGCGAATTACAAATAAAAATAAACTATGGCTATAACATTTAATTTAAACTAATAGTTTGCTATTTCATACAATTTTCCCAATTTAAATTTCATAAAATTGAAAATTTTCTCTTTTTTTACAAAAAAATATAAATTTTTAAATCTACATTATGATTTTATTATTATTATTATTTACTTATTTTTACAAATATTAACTTGCAAAAAAAGATTTTAAAAAAATTAAGTTTGAACTTTATTTATTGTGTATTTTGTCTTTGAATGGATTGAACATGTCATATTTGATACTTTATCATGATATATACTATATAAATATCGTAAAGGATTTGTGAGTTTATACTGAATCAATTCTCTTTGACACCTTGTTAATATATAATACATACCATGTTAGTATGAGCAGTTTTTTAAAAGAAATGAATTGGTTATTTATAATACATTATCCTATTATAGAAGATTGAAAAAGTGTTTTTTATTTTTATTTTTAATAAATGAATCATTTTCTATGGTACCATGTCAATTATGATATATATCGAGTAGATATTATAGATGACTGAGTTTTTTTTTATAAGAACCAGTACACTGAGTTTTTTTTTATAAGAATCAGTACACTGTGATTGTGTACTAATTCTGCACTTGCTCTTATTTTGTTGAGTACAAGGCATCTTCAAACGGCTATTGACCGACCTCGCTTAGAAGATCAGTGATCATCATTCGAATTTATGGGTGAGCCAATTCTTTTGGGCTGCCATGGGATTCTCTTTCATCTATGTCCACCACTTTCAGACTTAGACATTTGTTTTAGTTAGTTCATTAGATTGGGGTTGCATCCCTTCTTGTTTAGACTTGGTTCATTATTAGATGTTTTGGTACATTGACTTTCAGGTTCTAGGTTATTTCTTTCCGCATTGTTTAGTTCTTGTTAGACTTTTGTTGGAGTTTATGGGAACTCCCTATTTATTTCCTTAGTGTTGATTTAAATGCCTTAGTTTTTAGATTATTTGCTTGGTTTGGATTGT